TTTTCATCTGGCTTCCGTCTGAGTCTGGCTCTATCGTCGGTGTGCTGCTCTTTTATTCCTTCCTTTTTTGCCCGCAATGTTAAAATCGTGTCGCGCGCTTAGACGGGACGTGGTTAACAGATTTACGCTGTACATCACGTTAATACCGCGTGTCTCTTGATACCGCGTGCGCCGCGAATTATACGGAGACCAGCGACGACAAATCCAACGCCGCCGTGACAACCGTACGTGGAGGAGGTTGCCGCATTGTGGGATTTAATTTTCCTTTCTTTTTTTTTTTTAATTACGTCATTTAAGGGGAACACTCGAGTACCCTTCCTTCTTTATTCCAGAAACGAAGGGGTGTGACAATGGAACCGTTCAAACGAACATACGCATCACTCGTATGCAATGCTCAATAATAATCTCGTTGCACCGTGCGGTAATTGCGCTTTCGCATGCGTAACTCGGTTAATTGATCGATAAGCAGGAATAAAAACGACCGGCTACAGTGCAACATAAAATATAGAAAAGAGATATTTGGCATTATTTCAAACTGAACGCAAAACCAACATCAGAGTTATATAATTTATCAATATAATTATTTTGTATGACGATAATGCGAAATAAAGCGATGTCCCATGTAAAGTCTATCACACAATGCCAGGCAACAGGCGACAGGAAGGGGAAATAAAATTTCTGCCGCGTTGGATTGGCTGGAAGGAAATTTCCGACGAATCGAACGTGTCAAAAATTCCATTCCCTATTCCTATTGCCTGTTGCCTGGCATTTGTGTGATAATGTGGCAAGATATTTCGCGTCCTCATTCCGTTATCGGACAACAAAGTAAATAGCGCAGTTGCGCATTTATATGCGATATAATTTTAATTACCTTCCAACATTAGAGTGCAGATTAATTATCGATGTTGATAAAGTGCATGGCATATTATCTCGACATACCGCACGTGGAGGTGATAACGACTCGTTTTTTACTGCGTTTTGCAAGCTAATATAAGCCGCGCAAGCAATTATATATGCACGAAATATAAAAATATGTGTGCAAATGTGTGAATGCTTCTACAGTATATTTCGGGAAAAGTAAGAGTGCGCGGACATCGCCCGCCGCTTTCCCCCAATGGTTCGCGGTGTAATAGTAATGTTGCAACACAACGTGGCACACCGCAAGTTCCAAAATATTGAGAACAGAATCGATTGTGCCGAGTCGTCTTATCTTACATGTAACGAGTAATAAACACAGTTAAAGATACAAAATTCTTAGCTAACGTTAATGTGACTGTTGCTAAACTACAAAAGCGTAATTAGCCGTTGTCCGCGTTAAATGGATGCATATAGAAATATTTGTTATTCAGCCTCGCCTGTATCTGGACATCTCATAAAGAGCCGCGCGAAGAACAATCGCTGTTTAAATAAGTTACAAAAGGTCCAAATGCCATGTTATTTTCACAGAACGGTGCAACATGTATATGCAACGGAAAAGCGACTGGGTCGCGATGCGGCACAAGTCCGGGGAGATGGTGAAAAGAAGCTTTGCGCAACCCTCCTTCCTATCCCTCCGACGATTCGCGAGGATGGAAACGCGGAGATTTGCAAGCTCAGGCAAAAACGGCGTTGTTTGTCGAAATTACTAAGGGCCGTATACACGTCCCACGTTAAGCGCGCCGACCACGACAGCAGCGACGACGACGGATCGCATTCTGAGTTTTAGGTGCCCCGCCGCATTTGCATAATGATAATGCATTTGCATAATCACAATGATAACTCGAGGGCAATCCAGTGCGCGTGCGCGCTCGTCATCGTCAGTCGTCTCGTCGCGGCATGTTCAAATTGTCCTAATTTTGTATGCTCACCACAGGGTGATTCTGGTAACTGGGCTGGGTTGTATCTCTTTTCCAAGTTAACTCTCTCGCGACATACACAAGTCCCACTTACAACACTTAAAAAGACTCGATGATTTAGCATGCACTCACCGGGGGGAAAAAAAACCTCAACGAAATCTAAAAAGCAAAAAATTAACTTGGTCACGTAAGAGTCAAGGTAGAAAAGGGAAACTCTTTCACTATTTATCGTGTATTATTCTGCGATTGTATTATTTCGATGCGGTTGGGTGCACCACTGAAGTCAGGGAATGACCACGACGGCCATCAACGTGTTAAACATTTTGATAATCGACTGTCGAATATAGATTTTGTCTACTTGAGTGAAATTCAGGTAAAAAATTAATTTGAAAAGTAAAAATTTTGACTTCTCAGACAAATGGCGAACTAAGCTACGCTACTTCTCTTCAAATGATTTTACGATTGGACCCGTTTATCAAGGAAAGCTTTCATAAAATGAAAAATGGAATGTGGACGAATTTGTGGTCGGTTTACGCAGCGCGTCTTCGGGCGTGTACGAGTGTCCCGCACACGCACCTCGGTTCACGCTCGCGAATGTACACGCTCATAGAAGAGCAGTCAACCTTCTCGATCTACGGTCGAACACGCAGTATACACAGAGACGGAATACGGCGTAAAAGGTGTACACGCGTGTATAAGAGCGAAATAGCTAGCAATTTGCGAGGTTTACGAGTTATTTCACAATGGCTGCAAAGTATAGTCCTACAGTATTATACTGCCGTGGTAGCTCGAGTGCACGGTCAGCGAACGTTGTTGCACGTGGTAGGACGAGCGTGTGTGGGTGCATGCGAGCGAAGGGGGACGCGAGGAGTGAGACGGAGGGGAAGGAGGTTCTCGTATGGGTGCATTGTTGTTCGTGTTGAGTATCACCGTCGGTGGACTACTTTGTGCATATAGGTGCGATCCTTGTTTTACTGATTGTGAAACAAGCCCCTGGCCCCCCAATACGTCGGAGGGTACGCGCGACGTACTCCGGAGTAGTCGGCCCCGTCCCGCCTCTGCTTACCCTATTTCAAGACAATAACCAACTGACTATAAACCTGTCCGGAGCTCGGGCGCTTTTATTTTCCCGAGTTAGCCGAGTTAGTCTGCTTCTAAAAACATCTTTAGATCTCCTTCGAATCTCGCTGGGAAGAGACAACCGCGCGGGTGCGTCGCGCGATTCGTTCTTGGATGAAAGCGCAAAGCCGCTCGACCCGAGGCACGCAGCAGAACGCGGCGAGAGCTTCGAGAAATTCGCGAAGAAGAAAAGAAACGCGAGAGTGCGGTACGCGAACGATTACCGACACCTCGGGGAAAAAAAACGCGAAGGAAGAGTAAAGCAGACGAAACCACCATCACGCCGAAGAAGAAAGATTAAAGAGCAGCTTGTACGCCCTCGCCGGAATGATGGATGCGATCCCTGAGATGCGGGCGCCGTTCGCCAAGTAGGTGGAGACTTCTATTTCCATTCCCCGCGCACGTTGTTTCTCGTTTCCCTGCCCGTCCGTCTTTCGCATGCCATTTATCCGTATTCGTCCGCTTGTTGTGCGCTTTAATCGATTACGTGCAATTAGACCGATACCCCATTAAGTAAAAGAGCTTTTCGCTTAGGATAACAAAAGCCAATCCTAAAGGTCGCATCAGACTAGCACTTGTCGACTCGGATTGGATTGGATTGGAATTGGCGATTGACGATCGTCCCCTAGCCAATGAGATTCCATTGAATCGCTGGTTGCTTCGCTCTCATTGGCGAGAAGATCGCCCACTCGCCAGTCCCAATCCAATTCGCATTGACAATTGCTAGTCTGATTCGGCCTTGATGGTTTTCCCAAGAAATCACTACAAGTGTGGTAATAGAATTTATCCGACTTGTATTTTGTAGCCGAATCGGTCGCGTAGAATTCGTTTTTAACATTGCGACGCGAATCCTTGAAAGCAGGTTTGTCACTGTGAAAGGATATCGGCGTTTCTGCAGGCTCGCGCGCGCGAACAACAATTTAAATGGTAATCCAATACCACACCCTCTTCGCAAAAACCGAAAACCGCGGGCGAGCGGGGCGGCCGGGCCGACCTGGCCGGATCGGCGCGCCATTTCATACTCCACGTGGCAAAAATGCATCCGCGCGAGCGCAGTGTACGACGAGCCACCGCAAAAAGCGTTAACAAGGCTGCGATGCGAGTCCAGCTAATTCTATAACTTCGCCCCCATCCCCCTGGTCGGCTCACGCGCAGCCTCCTTTCTACGTGTCTTATGAATAGCGTTACTCCGGCACCGAAAAAATATTCCTTCCTTCCTTCCTTCCTTTCTCGCGGTGTCGAGCCGATCGTCTCTCGTTCTTACCGCGGGACACCGTCTACGAACTCGCCGTTCGGGGACGCTCGGCCGGTAATTATCCCCCGGCCGTGTAAAAATAATAATTAGCTTCCATCGTTGCATTAATTAAAGCGCCTCTCTTTCCACCCGGTTCGCCGTCTCCTCGCCCCGCGCTTTCGCAAGGGGAGAGTTCCGCCGTAATTACACGTCCCTCGCGGCACTAACCAGTGTCCCACAAAGGTGACCGCGCGAGTGGTTCACGCCCACGCACACTCAGCCTGGCTTCGCGCGATCGCGCCATGCCGCCGATGCTACTCCCGGATATCGTTCAATTATTCGCATCGCCTACTTTGGATAATTTATTTCGAGACATTTCGCCTATTCTATAAGACCGTCCAACTTGGAGGAATAACCAGGCGACAGACATTTCGCCTATTCTTTAAGGCCGTCCAACTTGGAGAAATAACCAGGCGACAGACATATCGATGAGATTCAAAATTTCAAGCTAATAATCTTTTAGCGTTCCACCAAAAGCGTTAAGCGAGAGCGGGAGAGAGTATTAAGTGTACAGAGTAGCAAGTTTTCCCCTTTTACAATAATTGTACGTGACATATGATTGAGAGAGAGCGTGATACGTTATTAGTTACGTAAGTTTGATTAAATTGGGAGGAAGAAGAGAGAGAAAAATAATTGGAGACAATCAAGACGGTACGTTAAATGTGTTAGTTGCCCACAACGCGACGATGCGCACTATCATTCCCGTCAAGCTAAGGAAGGCGTACGTACTTGCTAATATTTGGCTGACGCACCTGTCTGAATTGTTCTTCGAAGCTCCAATTGGCACCAGATGGATGTTGATTGTTCGCTGACGCAGCACGAGCTTCACCCTCACGAGCTTCTCCGTTGTTCCTCGAGCTACCTTGCGGGGATTCTCCGTTATTCTTGGAGTTTCCTTGCGACGATTCTCCGTTATTTCTGCAGCGAGGTGGCGAGGATTCGTTGGGCTGCGCAATGGCACCAGTTCTGGAGGCCATCACCTGATTGTCAATCAATTGAGCCCCGAGATTTCCTCCCGCGACTTGCAATTGATTTGCCGATGACTGCGGCAGATGTGACGGCTGTGGCGGTACTTGTGGCATGTACATATGCGGTTGGAACAAGCTCATGTTATTGTTTATCGCAGCCTGTATAGCTTCCAGACCACTACCTCTACCTTGCATCAATTCCTCGCCACGCTATAAAAAGACGATTGAAAAATACCGAATTGATTACTATATTAAGCAGACACCGAACGATAATAGAAACAATTCTTATCAAATAATTGATGGCATCGGAGCACAATTCCTTGTTCGTTAATACGAAAACAAAGATTTATTCTATTACTTTGAAAAGTTGAAGCTGATAAATTATAACTCTTGCTTGAGAAATACACTTGCAGATGTCACGACTCTAATTATTTATTGCTTGGAATAAGAAATGCAATTAATATAAAGCGTCAATTATCTCTGCTGAAACTTTCTGACTTCGCGAGAGATTCTCTCAATGTTCTCGCCGCGGACAAATACTATTGTGATCTCTTATCGGACTACCGTTTGCAATCGACCAGATCTGTCATCCGGTTTAGACTGTTGCGTAAGGAAAAAAGGGATCTATTGTGACGGTGACACGATGGTAACTCATTTATTACTGTCAACGTCCGCTGTTACGACTATCTCACGATTTTCCACGATTCGTGTCATTCTACCTTGGCACTTTTGTAGGTCAACGAACGCTCGAGCCTGCCGAGCAAGTTTTATGACGAATTATGCGGCTGCTTATCTTCACGGAAACTCAACAGGGCGAACGATAGGAACCTCTTGACAATAAGACTACTTTTCGAAATCTGCGCGTATTTTCCTGGTTGGCGCCAACAGCTTACGAATTTAAACGAAACGTGAAGCAGGTAGCAATGGATTAAACATGCAAGACAAAAGAGAACGAATAAACTTGTCTCACTTACCTCCATTCTGTACTTTGCGAGTAACGGATGGTTCATGAAATTGTTCAAATGCGCTAGTGAAGACATGCTAGTTGCGTCCAAGACTTGTGAGCCGAGTGTAAGTGTTACTGGAGCTGGATCAAGTAACTCTTCGTCCTCTTGCGCTTCATCATCCATATCCGACTCCTCATTCTCGTCTTGATACTGAAATCATCAAAGATTAACACGAAAATTAGAATTCTGCTCCAAGTAAAATTGCACTTCATATTACATGCGAAAAGACACGATAAGTCGTATTATACAATTGACCGATAAATGTTCCTCCCTAATATTTATACGTTGGTGATCGCACCAATTCTTCCTTCCCCTCTATTCTTGTTTCAGTCGTGCAAATTTACAATCGCATGAAACATCTAATAATCGACGACAGTTGGAATAAAAAGTAACGTTGATAGTAGAATCTGTTGATAACGTGATATCAACCGTGCAAGTTTAATCGTGAACAAGGAGGGCAGATAGCGAGGCATTAAACATTAATTAGGAAAATGGCGAATGCGATGAGTTATATACACCGAGATAGCTGCTATCAAGTAACATTATTATGCTACGGGTGTCATAAGTGTTTTACGGCTGTGCCCATTGCACCGGAGCCGGCATAAAAATGTACAAGTCACATTACCGGGAACGGAAACGGCCATCGTAAAAAAAAAAGGAGATGTACGCTCCATATTTTTTCCTCGCCTGAAATTAACTCAACCTCTCGATAAATGTCCTGCGCGCGACTCTCGGACACGGCGAGCATCGACTCGCACACACCTACTTATTTTCCATGCACGGTAATTTTTACTTCCTAGATAAGTTCACGGAACACATTTATGATATATGCCTTAGCTAATCGCCAGTATTAAAATCTGTACAACCTACAATTTTGCATATTTTTTACACGTGTGTGAACTATCGCATATATTTTATCCGTAATGGAGCATTATACAAATAGAGAGTGACTTAGACAAGTGACATTCGAAAGGAGGGAGGCTATTCACCATTCATTATTTTAGGGAGTGTTTCTTTTATCTAAAAGATGTAAATAGATTCATCGAAGCTTCAAGTATATTCAAATGGCGAAGAAGCCAGCTCTTTTACTTGGAAAGGGCGGACTTGAGTAAATATATGCCTATCGAGGATGCAAGTGGATTCAACGGTAAATGTACCGATGTCGGGGTCCAATCTTAAATGGAACTGCGATCGAAGGACAAGACATCCGATGGGCAAGGAGTGACAAACGGTCTCTCTGTCGGCGTTCCCAGCACGTGTGATAATATTGACCTTCTACGATGGTGGTCGGGAATGAATGCGCGGCAAAAAATAGGATCCTAATCAAATATGAAACAAGTTGGTTTCTGAGATTTCGATTTAGTTCGCGGCAATCTGTTATAAAGCTTGCCTGAATTTTCATTCCATATCTTCCGGATAAATCAATGAATGTCAACATCCAAAGACTTGTTCCGATAATAAATCGTGAAAATCGTTGTGTGTTCCGGAGGCCAAGTACTTACGCAAAAAAATATCGTTGGAATCGCCGCCGTCGGGGAGAAGGCGCGAAAATAATTTACGGTGATTATATATATATATATATATATACATATATATATATATATAGCATACATGTGGCATCGTTATTCTCACCGTGTGGCGTGAGGTTACGAATTATATCATTCAAGTGTTTGCGGACGGTACCGTCATTACAATAATCACGGTAGAGCCGCGTCCGAGGGTGCCATTGTTCTAGTCTGAACCGAGTATTCTCGCACGTAGGTGTCTGAATCTTGTATGGAAAGTGACGGAATACGCCGGTTGCATCCGCCGAGGCAACGGTTATCGCGAGAGGGATGGCCACTCAATTACAATATTAATCTACTTGTGTTAGATCCGTTTGAAGGCTCATACGAGTATACGGCTAACATTTTATAACTTTACCGCTAATGTCGCAACATGCTGATATTTACTGTACTGAAATTTCAATTTGCGTGGATATTTATTTACCCACGAATATTACGTCCTATTTCCTTTATGTTTACCTTCGTAAGAAAAATACCGTAACGTCCTAATCCTCTCGTCAGTTTTGATACGACAGTAACTGGAGGTAAGCGGAATAAATCAACAGAGAGAACAATCAAGAGGAAGAAAGGAAATCACATTTTATCGAGTGTCAATATTCTTATATAATTCGTCGCACCGTTTGTCGATCACTGCGTTTTCTCTATTTGCTAGTCAAATACGCGCTTTTACGCGATCTAAGGAAACGTCTTTAACGAACAAATAAATAAAACATCGACAGACGTCCTAAATCACCTAACGTTCTATATTAAAACACTTCGTACTGTGTTACATTGTCGAAATCATTCTCTCCCTTTCTCTCTTCTGTAACCCGTGGCGGGGCGTTGCGGTTTCATAGAGACATTTTAACCAGATTTAATATATCCTAGGTACGACAATAGCTAAATTTATCGAAGGCTAAGCCACGGCGCGTTACCCCTTCGCAGCCACTGCAGATAACTATGTCCACCGTGATTTATCGCCGTACTGTCACCATCCGATTGTTTTATTGTTTATACTTTATAGTTTCCACGCTTCGAAAGCGCTCGCACTCTCCAACAAAGGCTCGTGGGTGCGTGCGGGATACTCGAACGCATATATGTGCACGCGTGCCTGCGCATGTACTTGTACCTCGGCGTGGCCTGTAAATCATCGCCTAAATGCTCCAGGCACTGCACTCGCCGTGGCTCTAAATATTCTAATTACTGCACGACTATCGCGTTTAATTGAAGGACTCCTGTTAGGCGAATACCTGCCAATTTCGATCATCAATATTAACAAAATTCATACGAGTTATTTATATCAGTTGAAGAGGGTCCAAGTTAATTTCTTTTCTATCGTTATGATTTAAGAAGAGTACAGTATGTCTACTAAAATACAATTTTACATCAACGCAGTTTATTAACTAAAGTTTACGCAGTGAGGCGAAAAAAGTTGCAATATTACTTATCGTTGTTCCAGATTTTCTATTTATAACTGTAATCTAGCTGTCTGACGTCAGGCGACTTTGATCAAATCCGTTATGCATACTGAAAACTGCGAAATGAATGTTATGGTATGCACTGGCAGGGAGACAGAAAGACAGACAGAGAGAGAGAGAGAGGCTAGCTAGATCTCTTGGAAGTTATTACATGGCTAAATTGTCACGCTAGTATTTTACAGCTTCGTGGAATGGTTCGCCTATAGAAAAGAACAATGTTATCGGATGTACAACGTGGAGAGATTAAAAGAAGAATTCTCGTCGATGTGCAAAAGATAACCACAACCACGGCTTGAACGTATTTGCGAATATCAAAATTATTCGCAGATTCGAGATAATTTGCCAACACGACTCGACGACACTATTTCTTTTTGCACTTAAATAACTGTACGGTGTGATTGTTATATTTGCAGAATTTGTGGTATAATAAATAAATGTATGAAAATAATGATATGTAATCATTTCCCTGCAAGTATTGTACAAACGAAACTCTACACAATTCTAACGTTTCTATTTCCGACAATGTGATGATTGATGCAAAACTTTATTGCACAGAAGAAACGTGAATATCATTGCACTTTTTTGCCATTACGAACCGCGTGATGTTCTTGCAATAATATACTTCTGTAATACAGTCCGTTCTTCCGCGATCGCTGCAATTACCGTAATCGTAATTGCAAGACCGAGGGTATTTTGCGTTACAAAAAAAGTGAATTACATTAAATGCGTAAAATTTAGCGGTGGTTTGGGAATAATTCTCCGTGTATGTATGTAGAATATGCGCAGCGTGATATTACCGTGCGAAAGTACGGACTCATTGCCCGGTCGAAGTATTTGGTTTAAAATAAAATATTTAAAACACACGTGTGTTTTAAATATATAGCGATTAGATATGACCGTGCGAAATGAAAGAGACGTCAGCTCGTCACAAATGTAAGCATATCGTAGAGGCGCTGTCATCGGACGAAACATATATCGCGAATGTTCTCTAATCGGACGCATGTCCGGCAGAGAAGAATAAAAATTTGTGAAAACACATAAAATCAATGAGAAGTAACGACGGACGGAATCGGCGAGCATCAGGCATCGGAATTATAAATTATCTTTGAAAATAACGCGCGATAAATGTGTAAAACGTTTTTACGTATGCGCATATTTCACGACTTTACTATGCGATACCATTAGATATTACTAAAAATAAATAGTACGGCGTAAAAAAAAACAGGTATGCAAATCAATGGATAGATAAACGAGCGACTCTTGATGGCAATCGCGAATGCCGTACTATAAACTTATGTAGCGTAAGGATAAAGTTGAAAAGCGAAGGAAAGTATTGTACATGCGAGTGTCGAGAATCGTAATAAAATAGCTACAAGGAAACTAAAGCGTTGGAGCTTACGAGACGTCGAGGGCTACTTTTTCGTCGCGACAGCTAACGTTTCGATTTTATTTTTTTCAGTTTGGTTACAGTATTGTCTTTATTGCCGAATATCGCAGTGTCCAATGGAAAAATGCAACGTAATGCAGATAATTTTCGATGATACGCGGAGCGAAATATGCCGCGTAATGTGCGAACGCGTGAAATAGGATGCGTTATCGAGAACGTTATCGAACTCATTTCCTCGGCAACGCCGAGGTGGTACGAGCGGCGAGCGTATCGATATCGAAGGAAATGACTGCAAAATAATTGCTTTACATATTGTAGCGTTGTACCTCGGAGTCGCCGAGTTTACCATATTCCACGAACGCGCGCGAGCGCGATTCCCGCGCGTAGCCGATAAAGCGTCTACGCGATACAGAGCACGCAATGAATTCGAAACGAAGACTACCGAGAATTCGAAATGGCGCGATGCCCCCGCCGCTGCCGCGGTGATTAATTGCGCGCTGGGAAAGTGGGAGGCCAAATAATAGTGCTACTGCTGAGAAAAGAAAATATGTATCCAGGCTTATCGTGATAACGGCCGAATGGGAAAACTCGTGAAATGTATGCGCGTTGCTTCGTGAAAACACGGAGGCCGATTTAGTATATGCGCGAAATTAGTTCCAATTGCATTTCAATATTCTCGCTCAGTCACGTTTATTTTCCACTCGGGTGGTTTTACGAATAAAAGTATATAATTTTGCTGTC